CCTGCATGTATTATGTGGAATGAGACTCCCCAGAATTGTTTAAGCTCATATATTAATTTTTAGACAGTTGCTATTTTAAGACATTGGTTTCAAATCTGGTTTTGGCATCTACTTGTTCACACCTTCATTTGTTTTTCTGTTAGGAGTAGAGCTTGATGGGTTGGGACTGTATGTGGTAGGTCAGGTGATGGAAGACGGGTGGATGGGGAAACAGCCCTATAGACATAACTCATACTTACAGTTTATTGAGGGGAGTTAAGAAAATAAGGTAAAGAGACACAGAGGCAGAGATAGGACAGAAGAGAAGAGGGAGACAGGAAAGGTCCTGTCTGCCCATCAGAGAAACAGGGACAGGGATAACAGAAGCGGGTAGAGCCTTTCTTTTAAAGAACCAGGCAGTATTTGAAAATTTGTTTTTTGTTCATGTAGAGGAATATGATAATGTTTCTTTGAAATGGAACAATCCTTGAAATCAAAGAATGTATAGTCTTATGTGTTATCCTGTGAAGATACTGTTACTAAATGGCTACCTACCATGAAGAAACAAGAACGTAAAAAAGAGAGTTTCCACAGGGATTCTTAGTTGGGGGATTACTTTGCCAGACTGGCCTGTAGGCATGCCTGTGAGGCATTTTCTAGATTATTGGTTGAAGTAGTCTTATCAGAGTTTTTCTTCTTCTTCCTCCCTCTTCGTTTATAACCTCTTCTATGTTTTAAATACTTATTATTTGCATATCAATTATTTTGGACTTACCTTTTACATTTCTCATTTCTTCCTTAAAGATTTGATATTTTCATATTTCTTGCTCTTTATGTTGACACACTCATTTCCTGTTATTCTTTTAAGTTAACCTGAGTCTCAACAGTAGCTAATTGCTCCGTCAACTAATCTACATATTTGTGCAGCTGGAGAGTCAGGTTTAGCTTCAAAATTTCTTGTGCTGACTTTAAACCTCTTCAAATCTGCTTCTTATTTTCTTAGTTGTAATCTGTTTCCTTTAGCAAGTTCATTTCATATTCTGAATCCTATATATTTTGACCATGTCTTCTTCTCTTTTTAAATATACATACACACACATTTTCTTTGTTAGCAATAAACTCTGGGATTGTTAGAATACTCACTTAAGATAGTCTTGAAGTCATGGAAGGTAAGACTATTCCATGTGGAAGGAAGTTCTCTACCCCTTTTACCTGCTGAAACATTCCTGCAACCTATGGTTTCACCTGAACTTGCCTTCTAAAAGGCCCAGAAACAGTTACACTTAAAAGGGACTCAGGTATATTAAAACTGGTAGTGGGACAAAGGTAAGACATATTTGATTACTGTAGTCCCAGATTCCTTGTGCAAGACTTGTTTATATAATTAACTACATGATTTTACTTGCTTCATAGATATATTTAACGTAAGCATGTTAAACATTCTTTTCCATTAATTTCAAAATTATAATGAGAGTATAACAGGGTAAGTTGATCTTCAGTGTATTCTGTGTAATACCCTTTTACATAGACATCTGACTTCGTATCTTCATACTAATAACTGATAGCTAGTGCAAGTGCTCTTACTAGTAAAACATCAAATCTAATATAACAAGTAGAAAACTGCAAGTTTTGATATTGTGTGTAAAAAGCTGGTTCCTTTCACCATAAACTTTGCTTCTTGGTCTTTGTCACCTTTTAACAGACAGAATAACACTTTTATAAAAGCAAACACAGAGCCTCATAATGGCGATGCACACCTTTAATCCCAGTACTCAGGAGGCAGAGGTAGGTACATCTCTGAGTTTGAGCTCAGTCTGGTCTACAGAGAGAGTTCCAGGACAGCCAGGGCTACACAAAGAAACTGTGTCTTCGGGGGGTGGGGAGGAAACAAAAACAAACACAAACAAAACAAAAAAAGAAATGTATTAATTTCTCTAATCATGGTTCATTCTTTTCTTGGAACTATTTTAAAGACTTATTTATTTCTCATCAAATTTAATATACTAAGTGGGTATCAAAAGTAGTATTGCTTGGCTTTATTCACTATGTATTTTATTTTGCATCCAAGCATGAATTTGGTGAACATTAAAATTTACCCTTTAAAATGTACTACGCTAAACACTGTGGGAAGAGGAAGCAATGCCTTCTAGAGCTTCACATTAATAAGTAGCAGTAGCAGGAGGGCAGACGCTGAGCAAATGCTGACCAATCTGTAATTTGTGTGGGTGGAAACCAGTGGAAGACACAAGGAGAGAAAGGTAAATAGGATTGTTCAAATGGCCAATGGTAACTTTACTCAAAGTAAGTCACAGGAAATTGCCAAGCAGGGGACTGATGTTCTGCAAACTGTACTTAGGAAGATTAACCTAGTTGCACTGCAGCAGAGAGATTGGAGAAAGGCATTCCATTTGAGATATTAGAAAAACCAATAGGGCTGAGAGCATCAACAAAATGACAGCGAGAATGGGGTGAGGAGGTGGATTTCAGAGCAACTGCAGGGGTGGGAGGTAACAGAACTTGGCAGTTGTTTGGCTGTGGGAGGAGAAGTCATCTAAGAGCTTTGCAGCCTTATCTATGGGATGAAGTTTGTTCTTTGGAACAGAAATAGTTTGAAATGTGAGGGAGGATAAGACTTTCTAGAGAGGAAAAGAATTTAAGATTTAAGTTTGGGCATATTCCATTTGAAGTGTTAGTGGGACACCATTTAAGGTACTTCAGCCAAGAGTTCCTTCTACAGGTTTATTAATGGGCTTGAGGAGATGCTACCCCCAAGGATTTATCGAAATTAGGTTTGACTCAGTGTTAAAAAACTCAAGCCAGACAGAAGTCACATAAAGTGCTACCATTTCTATTTCTAATCTAGCTCCAAACCTATTCAAGGAAGGGGTAATTTATGTCATTAAAGACAACAAACAGCCAGAGGAAGAAATGACTGTTCCCCATTGTTTACAGAAACTGTGGTCTTGTGAATCATCTCCCAGAAGGACACTTAACTACCATGTTCCTGAAATGACCCTTTCTTTTCCAAGACTCTGAGCAACGAAGAAAGCAGGCTAAGATCAGAACAAGGGCTATCTAGAGAGTGACTGATTTCCTCTCATACATCATGGGAACAGTGGCCAACTAGGTTACCTTGGAAACCTGTCTCCTGCACATACTATCATTCAGCAATCCCTTGGCATGCTGGTCATACAAGGACAAAATAGATCAGTAAGCCAATGAAATCATTGCTCATATAGATAGGCTGACTTGCAATGCCCCCATTCCCTGTCTTAGTCAGGTGCACTAGAAAGCACTGTGAACACAAATACTCAAGTTCCAGGGCCACCATTGCTCAGAGCACCGCTCAGCAGTTGATGGAAAAGGTACCCTCAGCTCTGTACTGTGATACATTCCTCTGTATTCTCACTGCTAGTATGGTCACTGTCTCCCTGCCAGCACCCCTGTGGTGGACTTCAATAAATCCACATCTGACTGGGTATTTCCTTCAATTTCTGGACAAGGGACCAGGTTGTGGATTCTGTATTCTGGCAGAAACTCGCTGTCTGGGTTGACTATCAAGAGCAAGTGATGTACTAGGAATGTCCAATGGGGTTAAAGGAAACACCACCGTCAGCGATACAGTTTTCCTTTTTTTATCTGTGACTCTTCTAGTATGTCATGGTGAGTTCATGCTAGATCTTCTGATTGGGAGCTTGCTGAAGACTGGATAAATGAGGCTAAAATAACACCGAGAGAACTATTATGGGTTTTATAAGAATGTAAGAAGTACTAACGTCAAGAAAGTTTAATAATTCATTACAAAGTATCTCCCCAAAGCTGCAATATTCTGGGTGTCTTGCTTGCCACTTCTTTGATTATTCATGTCTTTCCCAACCACAGAGCACCCAAGGACTCGAACTTTAGTTATATTTGTATCTTGGTTAACTTACAAGAGTAAGAGAACCACTTTTCATGCAAGTAATTCTGCTAGCTGTTTGGTAGAACATACCAAGAGTTTCATCCTTAGGAAACACACTTTTGTGGAGAGCATTGTAACAGAGATGGTACAGTGAGTCCAGTCTATAATGCACAGAACTAAGTATTACGGAATTTAAGTATGTTCAGTTTGTATGAGAAACAAACCAAGGCATAAGGTAAGACACAGCAGTTAAGGCATGGCCATGGTAGGACTGCCTAAGCTTAAGGTGCTCAGAAGCTATGAAGGCTTGTTAATGGAAACACAGCCAAACAGATAGGGGTGGACGCTAATACTTTCATTATGCCTTTTGCAAAAGCCAGGCTCCTGTTGCTGAAGGTTATGAGGGTGGCTTGGGCGTTTTCAGTGCCTGGCTTTTATAGACGATGCTGCCATGTATAGGCATCCTACACCAGAAGATTCTCAGCGGCTGCACTTGCCTCGCTTCGGAGGGCGAATTTGCTCCTTTCTCTTGTTTGTCACCCCCAACCCTGTGCGCTCCGGGTTTCCTTTGGAAGTTCTGACTGGACGCAGGTTAGGCCTGGGAGTGACTTAGTTTCCTGGATGTCTGTCACCCTGATTTACAGGGAGAGCAAACAAAGGTCAAATTAGCTCTCCACCTTCCAACGTTTCTGGGGCTTTCCTGTGCTGCGGTGAAAGGGCCGGGGCCAGGAAGCAATGGCGCGGATGAGCAGCGACGCCCTGCAGGGCGCAGAGGCGACAAGAGCTCCAGGCTCCCGGTGCCTGGCCGGAAGTGCCCCGAGGGCTAGGCCGGAAATACACCCCCGCCCGCCTCCCCTCCTGAGGCTTCCGGGGGCGGGGCGTGGGCGGGGCGTGGGCGGAGCCAGGGCCGGAAGCTCCCGGTTCTAATCGCCTTCCCTGGCGTGGCGGCTGTAGGGAGCTGCACCGGGGCGGGCTGGGAGGCGGGGACCGTGGCCAGCGCGGGAGGACCGGGGGGACCCGGGGGACCCGGGCCAGGCTGATGCCCGTGAGCCCGCGCGCGGCTCGCACGCTAGCCCCAGAGCCAAGCGCCCGCCCGCGGTGCAGCCCCGGCCCCCGTCGCTATGTACGACCGTGCTCCCCGCTGGCTCAGGCCGCCCCAGGGTGGCAGCACCGAGGAGCACGTGGGGCCTGGGTCCTACCAGGTACCGGGCCCTCAGCAGCGGGCCACAGGTAAGATGCTGCAGGCCAGCTCCCTGTGACAGGGCCCCGCCCGCCTTCAGCCTGCCCCAAGGACACCTTGCAGACGAGTGACGAAACGCCGAGGGGGCAGAGGACTTACCAGGGCTTCGGTTTTGACGCCTGGGCTCAGGGGACTACGAAATCCAAGACCCGTGTACTTCTTCCTTCAGCCCTTCGTAGTCTTAGGGCTGCCACACACACATTCATCACACTTATTTACTACGATATAACTGTTCACATTCCTAATGTGTTATCACTTACAGATAGTCCTATTACACGCCCCCCCCCCACCAAACAGTGAAATTAACCGACCACCCCTGGCTTCCTACTTAGTGACAATCTCTTTCTACATTCTGTGAAGAGTTATATTCCTGAGAAGTGGGCTATTTGCTTTTTCTTTTAGCTATTTTTTTTTCAGTTCGTGAATTGGGCTCAACTTGTAATAAATAGTTCTAATTTGCCTTCTGTTTTTTTTAAAGTTCTGATTTCTAAAAAAATTAATATCATCCAAGTTACAGTGTTTTCCTCTTATAAAACCTGAATTTTCCCTTTTTCTTAAAGGTCCAGGAGTAAGTATTCTATTTACATCCCTGCTCAGATTATGGTTGGACATGGTAAAATTTTTCATCAGTATTTCAGCTCTCAAATTTTACTGCCTTTTTCTTTTGCATCTGTCCTCAACAGTTACATAACATGTCATATACAGTTAAGCTGTTATAAGCATTTATCCCCCCAACATCTTAGTGTTAACCCACAATAGGCACACCTGTGATGCTTGTATAGCCCTTATTTTGGTACAGCAGATCACTTTGTTGTTTTCTCTGGGTTCTTATTCCTGCTGTTAAGTACCAATGGGTCAACGTTGAACCAGAGAATCATTTTTTTTTTTTTTTTTGTTTCTTTCCTACCAATCATGCATACTTTTGTAAGTTACTGTACTTTCCATCTTTTTCTCATTGCTTTACTCATTGTACTTACAAGTGCTTTATTCAATAGTTGCAGGTCATCATTGGCCCAGTGGTGGATATCCAGGACCCAGCGTAAGATCAGGGTAAAAATACAGAACAATTCATGAATTTGCATGCCATCCTTGTGCAGGGGCCATGCTAATGTTCCCTATATCGTTCCAATTTTAGTATATGTGCTGCCGAAATGAGCACTTTTTTGTTCATACCTATTCCCTCAAGTACTATGTATATTCAGTTATTCCCAAATGAAAAATCTTTGTAGAGATAGATATGGACTTTTTCTCTAAGGTAAGTTTTCTCTTGTCTTAAAATCTGCAGTATTGTCCATCATCTTCATTGCCATCTTTGGCTGGCCTAAGTTTTAGAACTCTAGTTTCCTTTTTTGGCTGGCCATTTCTCTTGGCCTTTATGATTATTGGTTATATTTTCACAGTCGCTCAGAAAATCTTCCCCTCTTTTTATAACTCCCCCAACTTGACACAAGCCCTTATTTTTTCTCAGTTAAATCACTAGCATGTTGCTTCTGTCTCAGTGTCTAATTCATCCTTTCATCTTGTGGACAGACTCATCTTTAAGAAAAACATATACATTATTTGAAAAACAAAAGCATACTTTTTAACACCAGTGTTAAAAGTCTGAGCTCTTCAATGGTAATAGGATTATTTATGTTCTCATCTTTGATCTGGTGTTACACCTAATCTGATCTCTTCAAACACTGCATATTGCTTCTATACTTGACTACAGTTCAGCAATTCTAACTTGCTAATTTTCTTAAGACCATTCTCTGTCATTTTTGTGCATTTAACCTGCTAGTACATGTGTCCAATATATTCTGTGTTCTCTTTTACCTTGTGTGTTCCTATTTATTCTTGATACTCTACTGAAATAAAATTCTTACTCTTTTCCCCCTTCTGACTTACAGTGACTTTTTTGGGGTAGCAGTTTGAGTCTATAATTACTGTTTTATATGAAAGTGATATATACTAAACTGTGAACTACTTGAGAGCAGTAGTCATGATATTTACTCCATTCTTAGTTTTCTATCCAATAACACCAAGTTCTCAATGAAATATTCTTGTAGTAAACTATAAACTAACAACATTACAATTTCCTGTGAGGTGACTAAGATGGCTCAATGGTTAAAGGCATCTACTGCCAGGTTTGATGACTTGAGTTTGATAACTGTCACAAGTTGTCTTCTGTCGTCTACATATTTACATACACAACAAAAAACAAAACAGCAAAAACAAACAAGCCTCCTGTACTAACTTAAAGGATTATATTTTATTCATCTTTAAAATAAATTAAGAAATTCTGTGCATGGGAACTCTGAGGAGAGTTATTTTTATTATTTTTTTTATTATTTTTTTGTGTGTGTGTGTGCTACTCAGGACAGTATATTAATAATTGATGGGACAGGTGTTTCTGTCCATTGCTATGCTATATTTCTTGGCAAGACAATTCATAAGCACCTACCATACTATTTCATGCATCTGTATATTAGATACTGGACCATGCAGATATGTGCATACTTATTTAAATGAAACATCAGATATGTGCTAAGAGTCTCTTGTGGGAAGGGTAGATGTTGGGACTTGGTATAACTTAATTGTTACAGCAGGCCTTGCTAGAGCAATAGATTTTGTAGCATTAGGTGAAGATATTCTCAACATCTTGATTGCCTTGGTTTTACTTCTTTGATCAGGAATAACCTGTCTAGGATTTACAATCTGAATGGACCAGGACTTATCTGCTGTGGTTTTATGAGTGGGTAAGAGAATGGATACTCACATTCAATAGAAAGCAAGCGCTGTGCCTTGTTTTCTTACAACTAATCTGAGAAGAAAGCGTATTTTCCCAAAGCAAAATTTCCAGAGAGACAGCAATTCTAGTCTAAAGGCAGCTACTTACCATCTTATCATGAGAAAACATTCTTTTAAAATATGTGTCTGTCCTGGTATGCCAATAGGAATATTTCATTGCTTTTGTAAACGCACTTGCAAAATAAATAGCATCCCACAGTACCTCTATGTTTGTTGTCTATATGAATTATATATTACCATCTAAGTTGCACAATATCTGAATATTTTCTTTGTAGAGTAGGGTGGAAGGAGATTATCTGTGATTCTACTGATGCACACACACACAAGGATGATTTTATTATCCTAGCTAGTCATAATATAGAGAATCCACATCAGAGAGTGCAGTTGATATATAGGTTTACAAAATTATTGTTTATGTCATTTCTGTATAGACTGATGTCTTCCCAGACCTAGTTGTTTTGTAAGTGAAGAATGCCCTTTGCTTAGAGGCTGTCATTGTGGCTACATAACTTGTCTTTTCATCACATACTGGACATCTTTTTCTAAATGGACGTTTATTGCTTTGTGTCAGTCTGATTTATCTTTGGCTATTGGCACATCAAACTCAATATATCCTAAACTGAATACATCCCTTTCAAATCTTTTCTTATGCGCTTTTTTCCTCCTTTCTGTCAGTTTGATTTATCATGTGATGTTGTCTGTTTATATGTCAGTTTATCTGTATACCCCAAATCAAACTCTACTAATGTGTATTTTCTAGAACTCTCTAGTATATTTTGTACAGATATATAATTGTTTATTCACCTAATTTCTCCATCACTTGAAATTACGTTTTTGTCTTAATTACTATACCTTCATTTTCATTCAGGTTTATAATATACAAAACATACAGTATTTTTGAATGACCAACTAAATATGTAATGTAAATGCTAGTTACTATTTATTGTTAGTTAATTTGCAGAATATGATGATAAGATGGTTCATCATCTTGGTTTTGTGGAACGAGAACTATTCTAGTAGCACTTTCAGTCCCCTGTTTGGAGAAACCTTGACAGTTGGAAATTCTGAGAAACATTAGTACAAAGCTACAGAAGAGAACTTTCTGTGTGGAAATTGTCATTACAATGGTTTTCTTTTCCTTGTGTTCTTTTCTTGCACTCATAACTCCATGTGTGTTCCAGCTCATTAACAAAAGAGTCTGTGTGATTAATTGTGGGAAACTTCAATGAGGATTTTATGAATACCAGATTTCTTTTTCATTGCCCATTTCTTCTATATACATAGTTTTAACCACACAAACTTGCTATATGCTCTAGCATCAATAATATGAATAATGGGATATTATGAAGTCCGTTTTCCCTTATTAAAACAAATTTATCAGGCAATGCAAATTTGCTTGTTACAATGAAGTTTATTAGACAATCAGAAAATATTTGCTGAGCACTAACTCTGTGACAAAGCACCGTCAACCTGTTGTCGATTTGGTTTAAATTCTCTGCATATTGGTTTTTTCTCTAATGCTTTTTGATGTGATTGAACCCAGGGCTTTGTGCATCCTAAATAGTTGTTCTACCATTGAGATACATCTTTAGCACTGTCTATAACTTTATATGTATATTTTAAAAAAGACTATTTGCTATTTAAAATAGCAAACTATTGGTCTCTGTAGAAAAAGTGTTTTAACAGCGGGGTCACATATGATTAGAAGAGAAGGCGGCTGGCAAGATGGCATGGTGGCTAAGGTGCTTGCTGAACATCAGCATCTGAGTTTGTATCCCCGGCAGCACCCACAGTCAACCATAGTGGTGTGTTTCTGTAACCCCAGTGTAGGAGTAGGGTGGGGCCGTGGACTGGGGTGACGGATTCACTGGCAAGGTAGTCTAATCAACCTTTGGAAATTTCCAGGATCAGTGAGGGACCCTGCCTCAAAAAGTAAGCTAGAAAAGGGTAGAAGAGGACACCTGATACTGACCCCTGACTTCCGTGCACTTATGTACAAACCTGCACACCTAGACACACATATGCACGCAGATGGGCGATTCACATACACATACACAAGAAAATTTTATTTTTTTCTGTTGTTCAATATGTTCATTCCTGTAGGGTCTTATATTTAATGGATATTAGTAAAAATTGTGATCCTACATAACAATTAAAAATGTTATAAATTTGTATGAATAGCTATTAGTTCTGAAAATACAGTTAATGCCAAGGGTACTAAATGATTATATATACCCTGAGTATATTGTCTCAGATGACTTTCTGATCTAATGCTGTGTGTCAGTGGTGATTTCTTTTTGTAGGTGGCTATGCACCATTTCTTTCTTTGAGTTCCAGACAAAGTGCTTACGGTGTTGCCTCCGACACTGGGAAAGCTGCCCCAGGTCCAGCACACTACAATGTGTCACAGGCACAGGTGTGTTTATGATGTTATGATTGGCTAAGTTAATGACAACCATGTTTTCTTAATCAGATGCACACATTTATAACCCCAGTACAGCAAGTTCAAGGCTAACCCAGGCTTGACAGTGTCACACATTTCTAACTCAAGCATTCTAAGTCCAAGGCTAATCTTAGGCTAAAAAAAATTAAAATCATCAAGACAAAAGAATACAAACCCATATTTCTTGTGTCAATAATACGAAGTGCCATTTGTTGTATTTTATTTTCCCCTCATGTCTTTCTCTTTCAAATCTTCAGTTTTGTAACTCAAATAATGGAAAGTAAATGCATTTGATGTTCATTATTCTATATGTGCTATATACAAAACATGGTTGTATGTTTCAGTGGTCCACAGGAGTGGCAGAATTGGACTCTTTAATGAATTTTGATGTCTGAAAATTGTACAAACGGTCAATCTCTGTAGGCAGCAGTGGTGTAGTTTGTGTGCTGTCCTTTAAGGCTATAACTTTGCCAGGCCTCATAGGTCTGTGACGAAAATAACTTGGATGGCCCCAGGAATGCTCAGAAGTAATGTATATTCTGAAGATACGGCAGTATTTCCTTATAATGAATATAATTTTATAACTTGGAATTTACTGGAATTAACCTGCCATTGGTTTGTTGGTGATTTTTTTGGTTCTAGAGAATCCAGATTTGTAGTGTGAAGAGTCATGGAAGTTTCCTTCCTGTGTGTTCTATCAAGTAACAGTTCCTAAGACAGATGATGAGAGGATGCTATTATCCAATAGGCCATGCTACCCATGGCTTGCTCTGTCTATTTTCTTGTAGAATCAGAGCCACCACACTACGGGTGAACCCCTTTCAACATACACACACCATGGGCTGGGCCCTCCCACATCAATCACTAATTAAGAAAATGCACAGTAGACTTGCCTACAGCCATTTCTTATGGATGCATTTTCTCACTCTCTTTTCAATGACTAGCTTTTGTCAGGTTAAAATAAAACTAGCCAGCACAGAAGGCCAGGCTTGTTACTGAAATATTCTGAAAATTCAGTTCATAAGCAACACAGTCTATTTTAACCATACTTGGAAGGTTGGAAAGTCCAGTCCTTGATTCCTTTATTGTCCTACCTTAGAATGTCCCAAAGTACAGTAAAGTATGGTCTGAGCTTAGAGTCAAAACTACAATTATTACCTCAATATCCTCTTTTAGAGGAACTTGTTTTCAGTCAATGCTCTTAACTTTCTCAGATCCCATTTAAAAACTGTTTGCTAAATTTTATATTTATAAAATAGGAATTATAAAATACTTCTTGAATTACTTCATAATTTTTAACCTACAATTTAGGATAAAATAAAAGGAGGCGGTAGTCTGCAAAACCGAGAGAAGCGGTTTAAGAAGCTTACTTCTGATGGTCCAGGCCCTGGAAGCTATGACCAACCTCTTCCTGGGAGTTTGTGCATCATGAGCAGACAGGTACTCCAACCTAAGGAACATGTTCTGCAGTATGTCACTTTTAAAGATATGCTTCTAATGACAACTCTATTAGATAAAATAAAAAAGAAATCCTAAGCAGTCTGTTTGATGTTGAAAATGTAAAAAATTAAATTAAATTAAAAAGAATAAAAACTATAAAGCTTGGTATATTCTTACTATTCATATTGCACTTATTTTTTGATTAAATGAATACTAAATAATTTTTTATAAACTTTGGTTTTCAACTATATTAACATCATACTTCATTCTTTTTTCTTTCCCCCATTGAGTTATGTCAGTGGGTTCCTTTTGTAGTCTTGATTATTCTGTATCCTCAGTGCCTGAAGTGACTAGGAAGAAGGGAGATTTAAAACCTGGTCATCTGTATGGTTTGCTTAATTTTAGTGGCTGTATAAATACCTGTTAATAAAACAGTGATGTCTTTATGATTCCTGGGCTGCAGGAGTAGCCTGGTGTTGGAGAACATTTGCCTAGCCCATGTGAGGCCCCGAGTTCTGTCTCTAGAGCCACACAGAAGAAAACATGATGCTTGAAAGGAGAAGTCTGAAAATTTAGAGGGCGGCAGACAGAGGTAGTTGCTACTTCAAGACAAAATGTGAAAAGTGATAGATGAATGATCACGCAATGAAATGCCTTGGGGACTTAAAGGACTACTGTATGATATTAGGAGTGATTATATTTTTCATCCCGTGTTTCACAGATCTCAAATTCATCATATTTTCCACAGTTTTCAGAGGAAAGAACACTTTGTATTTTAGGGTTAAGGTCTTAGTTGAATGTGTTAGTAGAGATGAGGTTGAGTTTTATGCCATGGATGTAGATATCCGGCATATTTCATGTGTAGGGACAAAATAAATGTCAAACATTGCTTACTGACCACATGTGTCAGTTAATTAACACAATGCTGGACATTTTGGGACAATATAGTTGATGACATACTATCTTAGAGTCATAATGAAACATTCACCAATGTCCCAAAGTGAAAGAGTCTTTGGAGGAGCTGGGAGAAATGATTCCATCTGGTCTTAAAGAAGAAGTCACACTGTGGTCTGTAGTCATAGGAAAGCACATGAGTCACAACAACTGCAGTTGTGTTGCATAGTATGCATGGCACACTCAGGGAAGTGCAGTGTTCTGTGGACAGTTGCAAGTACAAGACTGGAGGGAGAGGGACATGGTCAGAAGCTCAAGGAAGGAAAGGCTATTGTTTTGAAATCTTTGAGGTGTCCTTTTTGAAAGTACTGAATTGAAGGAAAGCTGTTCAATGTATTCTTGTATTAATTTTGTAATTATTTTCATAAATGCCACTAAAGCTACTTAGTTGATGACTTTAGTGCAAAAAACATTTCTAGCAGTGGCAATTATTTTTTTTATAGCACAGTTGTGTATGAACACATGTACATACACCATTGCATTCATTTGTTTGTTCAGAAATTACAGGGATCAATATAATCCCATGTTATTTTTTCTATACACCAAAATCCTTCAAATGGCAGTGTTTTGTTTGTTATATTCTTTTTCTAATTTATGATATTACCTCCTGTTTCTATTTAAGTTATTTTCCTTGGAAGTAAGACCTTTTCAAAAAATGCTAACCAACTTAAAGCTCTGTCAATTTTGTCATAGTTCTTTCAGAACTCAAGCATCCATTTTATTACTGTATTTATATTTGTAAATGAGTTTGATTCGTGAGTTCCATTCGCTTTAGCATTGTCTCATAGACAGTTTTTTTCTTTGTAGCCTGTGCAGTTAGCACATATGTACAAGTTATAGGTAACATAGATAAGTCAAGAGTTGCAGGGAAATGAAGGCTGGATATGTTAGAAAATGAACTAAAAGAGAGAACTTAGTACAGTTCTGTATAGCATTCACTCTCATACTGTCTGATGTTGCTGCAGGAGTGCCTTTATTTATTTTTAATATCAGTACTATTTACTAAGAAAGATAAGTAGCCTGCCAAGTAAGAGCAAATCCTTGGTTCTTGTGGTGGCTTTTATAGTGTTTATGACTTAGTCTATACATGTGCTAAAACTTGAATGCACTCCTTCAACTGAGTCTATAAGATAGTTTTTTGGTTAATGTTATTTAATTCATTAAATCAATATTTAATGATTGACTTTTTTGTTCTTATTCTATCTTCTTGTCTCTGAATAACATAAAATGTCTTCCTCACAAACATTTTATGCTGAAAGAAAATTTCTAGAACACCTGTGGTTTCCAGAAGCATTGACGTTCCTTCAATTCCCTCTTCTGGAAAGTCACATGGCTATCATCTCAATGATGATAACAGTATTATGAGACGTACGCCACCTGCTAGTGATAACACAATAGGTCCAGCATACTACAAGCCTCAGTTTGTAAGTATGACACATTTGATAATGACAGTTGAAAAGCTGCTCTTTTTTTATAATATTTTTTATTTAAATTTGAAACAAGCTTCTTTTAAATGTCAGTCTCAGTTTCCTCACCCTCCCCTTCTCCCCTGCCCCCCCAACTACTATCCCATCCCCTTTCTGCTCCCCAGGGAGGGTGAGGTCTTCCATGGGGGGATCTTCGAGGTCTGTCACATCATTTGGAGCAGGGCCAGGCCCTCCAGTGTGTCTAGGCTGAGAGAGTATCCCTCTATGTGGAATGGGTTCCCAAAGTCCATTCCTATACTAGGAATAAATACTGATCCACTACCAGAGGCCCCATAGACTGCCCAGTTCTCTTAACTAACACCCACGTTCACGAGGTCTGGGTGGGTCCAGGTGCTGGTTTCCCAGCTGTCAGACTGGGGGTCCATGGACTGCTCATTATTGTATATGTTTTCATTCATCGACAGTAACTGTAAGTAACAATTAGAACACTGATTTTTAGTGACTATAGACTGCAGAATTTTTCTTCATACATGTATGTGTGCCATCTGGCTGGCAGAAGAGAACAGAGAAAATGTATGAAAAACTTTTTAGGCCAGGCTTGGAAGCTAGAGCTTAACAGTATGGCAGTCTTAGCCACCTGGAAGGCTACATGCAGGAAAAAGGAACAGTGGAAACCGGTAGAAGTTTCAACCACAGTGTATAGATGGAATGCATAGACTTCCCCCCCCCTGGTTTTTAAGGAGGCTTATGGGAATTTTATTATAAAGGAATTTGATTTGAGAATGTATCAATATTCTACAAATTAGTGTAGAAAGTAAAAGAAGCTTCTCTGATTGAAATACTAAACATAGTTTATCAGGTCCATCTCATGGAGATTTTAACTTTCAAAACAGTAAGTTGTCAAAATTTCATTCAGCCAGTTAAAGCATATGATTTATTCTTAAATGCATAGAACAAATGTAAACATTGAGGGTGTTTTACTCAGTGACAATGTACTCTGATAGCACTGTACTTTTATGGCTTTGCTAGATAGGAAGTCATTGATGAGCACTCTTAAGGAGTATGATAAGGATACTGAAGTTAGCACTGCACAATTGATGACTTCTTTCAGGGCTGTGGAAGAGAAATGGCAGTTCTACCTAAGGGACAGGCCACTGAGAGTTTGACCATGCTCCAGTGAATGTATGGATGATACAAACTGAATTTTCTCTTGGTGGGGTCACAAGGGAAGGGGGATAGACATGGAAGGACTGGGAAATAAGTATGATCAGGGTGCATAATGTGAAATCCCCCAAGAATCAAGAAAAGAAGGAAGAAAGAAATAGAGAAAGAAAGGAAGGAAGGAAGAAAGAAAGAAAGAAAGAGCAGGCTCAGTTCTACTTAAGGAAACCTAGAAAACACTGAAGAAATAAATGCCTAGACACATATGAGCTACCAAAATTAAATCAGAATGATACAAACAAGCTAGAAGACCTATGATAGTGTGGTTTGAATAGGTGTGCCCCCCATAGACTTGTTTTTGAATATTTGGCCTATTGGGAATAGCATGATTAGAAGGTGGGGTCTTGTTGGAGGAAGTGTGTCACTTGGGGGTGACCTCCAAGGTTTCAAATGCTCAAGTTATGCCCAGTTGAAGACAGTTTACTTCCTGTTGCCTGTAGATCAAGATATAGGACTCTGAGGTACCTCTCCAGCACCATGTCTACCTGCATGTTGCTGTGCTTCAAGCCATAGCGATAATTGACTAAAATTCTGAAACTTTAAGCCAGCCATAATGAAATGTTTTCCTTTATAAAAGTTGCTGTGGTCATAGCAGCTCTTCATAGCAACAGAAACCCTAGCTTTAAAAGGCAGTAAATAAGATTTGAACACCACCATCATCAACAACTATACTTCCCCAACCCCCTTAACCAAGAAAAGTCAGGGTCCAGATATGTTCCCTGTTGAATCCTCGAAACCCTTTATAGAAGTTCAAATATTTCTCCAAGTACTCCATAAAATAAAAGCTATCTATAACAACAAAAAACCCCCCAAAAACCCAAACCAAACCAAACAAACAAACGTCCTATATATAATGTTGTACTAAAAGTGGACAGTGAGAGCCTTTCCTTTCAAATATGGAATAAGACAAGTATTTCTACTCTCCACTCTTATTCAATATAGTGTTCAATATCTTACTCAAAACAAGACCAGGAAAGAGAGAAAAGGGATCCAAATAAGAATGTAAGGAGTCAAATTATTGCTGTGTGGAAATGACAAGGTCCTTTCCTTAGAAAACCTAAAGGTCTTCCAGAAAGCTGTTCTTCTAAATTAATGCTTTTAGCAAAGTACTAGTGAAGTGGAAAAGAAACCCATATGTGCTAAATCCTGATCCAGCCTCACGCTAGGGCTGAGTTCAGACTGGCCTCAGGCATGTAAGGAATTTTTGCAAACCTGCATTGTTCTGCTTCTGAAATAACCAGGCTCTCTGCTCTCTGCTGAGACAGAAACACCAGAGTGTAAATCTGTGCCCCATTCTCAGTAAAAATTCATATCCTACATTGTGTACTAATAGCCATCACGATGGCATTGAAGGGATGTGCCATACTTGCAGATTTTACCTTATGAACACCTTGCTTACTCTGCTCAGGGCCACCTCTTTTTACTGATGGCCACAAGAGTGTGTGCCCCAGGCCAGTGTGTGTGCCTCAATGAAAACTTAATGAAGAGCTTGTCCTGGACTCCTTCTCTTGGGTGAGAACAGTCTGACTACAACATTTGGGGGCTTGTTGCAGATCTGTTCTCTCCTTAATGGATGTCTTAATTTGTATTGTCTAGTCTTCGGAATTCTGGTGAATGTGTTCTTCTGGGTAACTTCTGGGTGATCAGACATGATCTTACGTCCAGGGTTACATGTTCTCAGTGGATTGACATTTGGGTCAGGTGACTCCCTACCATGGGACACCCTCTGTTGTCAGTCTGCTGTGTTGGGTGAATGAGAACATGGTAGCCAGCCTTCGCTTGTCCGATTATTATTACTCTTTGTGTTTTATTTTTGTTGGAGTCCTGTCTCTCAGCTTGCTCCTGGAGCTTGCTCAGTCTCTGCCCTTCTCATCACCTCAATGAACCCTGCTATTTAAGTCCTGTGAAATCTCTTCTCTCTGAGCTTTCTTTGTTTTTGCTCTCATTCATCCCTTTGGCTGATTTGTTGAGTTTTTCAGGGATTCCAGTGCCTTTTAGGTGTGGATAACATTATTTTATGCTGTTCCACTCCATTAAAAAGCTGGCTCTGGAGTTGGGTCATGGTCTTTACTCTTCTGACTCAAGCATGCTTTTTTAAAAGGTTTCTTCAAATTTCTGTCATAGGTTAAAAGGCAACTGACACCAGGACAGAGTGACACACACACACACACACACACACACACACACACACACACACACACACACACACACACACACACAGAGAGAGAGAGAGAGACAGAGAGAGAGAGAGAGAGAACAATCTAGGAAAAGATAGTATGTGCTTTAAAACAGTTAAAAAGCAGACTATTCCCAATATAAATAACTGTTGTTTATCTCATATTCCTTTTCTTGGTTTTATTTAACTAAAACTTTTGCTAAAATATAAATTTAACTTAAGATTTGTAAGACTATTATATACAGGTATACAGCTTATGATCTATAAACTTACTGCATATGGTTAAAATGTGTAGAGAATACTAACAATATGAAGGGGTTCACCTATGTGGCGATGGGAAAGCTCTTATAATACTAAGTAAAGCTCCAGATACCATACACTGCCCCTTAGCTAAGTAAAGCTCCAGATACTATACACTGCCCCTTAGCTAAGTAAAGCTCCAGATACTATACACTGCCCCTTAGCTAAGTAAAGGCCCAGATACTATACACTGCCCCTTAGGAAAATTTTCATACAACAAATGGTAAATTTATTTGTTACTATTATGTCTCATGTTACTTAATTTTATTAATTAAAAGGATTTATATAAAAAATTAGGATGTGTATAAAAATGTTCCCTCATTCAAGGTCATGGTTATTCAAAACTCTTGTGCTGAAATGTAAACTTTCTTTCTCTGAGGATCTGTAAGAGCATTGTGTTTTTGTTGGCAGATGGGGATATCCTGTAAATTCTGAGCAAGAAAGGTTAATTTAACAGGGATAAACTGTAAAATCCTAGCCTTGTAAAAGCTGCTAACTTGCTGTAAAGTGTTAAAGATAATTAGGACAAAGAATTTAATTGTAAGTCACTTTATAAATGATCAGAAATGTTAATGTATTTAGAACTATGTTTGTAGTCATGCCAAGTACAAATGTAATTCATTGGTAGGTGAAAGCTTTATGTAGCTTTTTAAAGTATGTTTTCAAGGTTAAGCCTAAAACAACTAAACAAGTAACTAAAAACAAGTAAAATTTCTTTAAAATCAGGCATACTTAATAGATAAACCTTTAAAAACTTCAGAGACCCGCTGAATATGGTATTTAAAACATTCAGTTAGCAAAAAGGCTTCCCGTGATAGACAAGAATTCTAGCTCCTAACAGCCCCACCTGGATTATGGTAATGCCAACCACAGGGAAAAACTGCACCATGCCTTACTTACTGCTAGGACCCTGCCAAAGTATGGACGAACAGTCCATCAGATTATCGACTTCCTCATTTTGCCTCACCCAAGGTGCCAGTCTCTCAAGTTCCTCATCTACAGGAAAGTCTCTTTCTGGGTCTGGCAGACAAAGGCTGATGGTGCCCTGTATGGCAGTCAAAGAGTTAATGTTGTCCTATGTAATGTCTGAAGACTAATGCTGCCCTGGTGCTGTCCTGGGAACTCTGCTCCCAGAGATCAACAAGATCACCACGGAGAAACCTAGGGTAACCATCCAGTGAGTTCCAGGTAGCTGGTAAGTCTCTGCTGTAGGTAGGGGTTTTTGTCAGGGTCTCTGGCTTATTATTAACTATAAATGCTTGGCCCATAGCTTAGGCTCGTTACTAGCTAGCTCTTACAT